AGCCGAGAAATGGTTGATTTTTAGGATTTTTTAGCACAAAAATGGCCGCCATTCGGCCATCTTGAATCAGATCGTAAAACAAAATGATGTGCTTCAAGGTCCTATAATGTCTAACGTATATACCAAGTTTGAACAAAATCCATCTGTAAACAGCCGAGAAATGCTCAATTTTGATGATTTTTAGCACAAAAATGGCCGCCATTCAGCCATCTTAAATCAGATTGTGAAACAAATTGACGTGCATATGTATAATATCATGTACGAGTATGTGTGAAGTTTGATTGTGATTGGTCCAGGCATTTCTAAGATACAGGTCCGGCCGGACGCACGCACAGACGCACACACGCACGCACGGAGGTCAAAACATAAGTCCCCGTTTTCGGACTATGTCCGAACGGGGACTAAAAATCTGGCTATAATACCTTGAAATTGGAGGGTACAAAACATAGTACAAATAATTGTAGCTACAGAAATTTGGCAAAATGTTATGATTGAAGACAGCAATGTACGTCAGTTGCTAACATACATGTATTTATACGTAGTACAGCCAATGTAGAACAACAAAACAAAAAACAAAAAAACAAAAATGCAAGTGTGCAGTGTCCCTATAAAAAATAAAAACATCAGATTATTTGATGACTTTACCTCTTCAAACTTCTTTTCTTGTAATGCTATTTGTTTCTTGAACGACAAAACTATTCTCTTGTGCTGCTGGGCTCCACTGAGTCGTTCAGGCCTCTCTTCCGTACTCAGTTCCTGTTGCTACATAGAGACGGTCAAAACAGATCAGTAATTTATCAAAGATACAATTGTCTAAAACTATGAAATCATCAGTAAACAAAAATGGGAAATTATGGTTTGTTATTTCATGTTAAAACTGAATCTAAGTAACAATACATTACATAAAGACATTAACTGGCAATAACAAGTACGCTTTGTTTCAGAGTTTCAAAATTCTGCAAGTATTGTTCATATACAAATAATGGAAAAAAAATTATCACATTTTATTATAATTAATCAATGAAAGTTCACAAAATTTGAAAATATTAGAATAAACATAATAATTTTTTAGTTAATGTCACACGTAGCATAATTTCTAGATAAGATTTGATAATTTCATAATCAACATGAAATTTTAATATTTTCCATAGTGACCATTGGCAACAAAGTTCAAATTGAAAATTTAGGGTTAGCCAAGTACAAAATTTGTTGGTCGCTAGACAGATACATATTAAACTATGCAGAAACACCATGTATGTTAAAACTTGTATATTTCAGATGTTGTTATCGATGGACACTGATTCACTGACACAATAGGATCCACTTTCAACCACATTAATCTGTGCAAAGTGTTGAATTATGGGTAGACATGTGCAACCTAGAGATGACAAGCCTAATAATCTGTTTTCTTACAGAGAATTTGTTGCCAGACAGATTTTGTATAGGCAATCTGGATATTCTGTTTAATAGCTATTGATTGATCGCTATAGTGACCAAAATCTATAGGCCTAGCCATAGAAAACAAAGATATATCGGTAAATTCATACCCTTGTTTTCCACATTTTTTAGAACAATCTTAACATATGATAGACAGTTGATCATTCAATACACTACTGTGCTAACAAGCATTCAAGAGATTCCAACTTTATATGCTATGACAAATTTACTAGAACGTTTTTTTGTTGTTTACCTTGTCTGCATAACGCAATGCAATCTGCTGGATCTCTTCAGACTGCAAACCAACAATAGAACCAACAGCACTGGCAGTAAGCTGACCCTGGGTAAGTAAGACACGAAGAGCATACAGTACTTAATGCAATATATGAAGATGTCCATTATCGTACTGGACAACGTTAGCACCCGGTGTCCTCAACACAGAAAATCATGATTTTTTAGGGGTGGGCGTTACACAAGCACCCCCACTTGGAAAAGAGTGCAATGACAATTTGGGAGGTGGGCACTTATGATGATGACAATTAAGGAAGTCAATGTGATTCACTGACTTATCACCTACTCACTGTGACTCACTATCTCTAACTCACTTAGACTCGTTATTCACTGTGACTCACCAATCACTAACTTACTGTGACTCATCACTTACTGTGACTCATCACTTACTGTGACTCATCACTCACTGTGACTCAACAATCCCTAACTTAATGTGACTCACCACTTACTGTGACTCATTACTCATCGTGATTCACCAATCACTAACTTACTGTGACTCATCACTCACTGTGATTCATCACTCACTGTGACTCAACAATCTCTAACTTAATGTGACTCACCACTTACTGTGACTCATCACTCACTGTGACTCACCAATCACTAACTTGCTGTGACTCATCACTCACTGTGATTCATCACACACTGTGACTCAACAATCACTAACTTAATGTGACTCATCACTTACTGTGACTCATTACTTACTGTGACTCACCACTTAATATGACTCATCACTTACTGCGACTCATCACTCACTGTGACTCAACAATCACTAACTTACTGCGACTCATCACTTACTGTGACTCATTACTTACTGTGACTCACCACTTAATGTGACTCATTACTTACTGTGACTCACCACTTAATATGACCATCACTTACTGTGACTTATCACTTACTGTGACTCAACAATCACTAACTTACTGCGACTCATCACTTACTGTGACTCATTACTTACTGTGACTCACCACTTAATGTGACTCATTACTTACTGTGACTCACCACTTAATGTGACTCATCACTTACTGTGACTCATTACTTACTGTGACTCACCACTTAATGTGACTCATTACTTACTGTGACTCACCACTTAATGTGACTCATCACTTACTGTGACTCATTACTTACTGTGACTCACCACTTAATATGACTCATCACTTACTGTGACTCATTACTCATCGTGATTCACCAATCACTAACTTACTGTGACTCATCACTCACTGTGATTCATCACTCACTGTGACTCAACAATCTCTAACTTAATGTGACTCACCACTTACTGTGACTCATCACTCACTGTGACTCACCAATCACTAACTTGCTGTGACTCATCACTCACTGTGATTCATCACTCACTGTGACTCAACAATCACTAACTTAATGTGACTCATCACTTACTGTGACTCATTACTTACTGTGACTCACCACTTAATATGACTCATCACTTACTGCGACTCATCACTCACTGTGACTCAACAATCACTAACTTACTGCGACTCATCACTTACTGTGACTCATTACTTACTGTGACTCACCACTTAATGTGACTCATCACTTACTGTGACTCATTACTTACTGTGACTCACCACTTAATATGACCATCACTTACTGTGACTTATCACTCACTGTGACTCAACAATCACTAACTTAC